TTCATATCATGTATTTATGATAATTATTTTCTTGGAAATGTCTGAAAATGTGGATTCTAGCTGTTATCCAGGTGCAGGCGCATTTGACACGTGGTGGAGGCCTCCTGGAGGAGGGTATGGACGTTTATTTACCGACTTCTCCAGTGGTTTGTGTTTTCTCCACGAGTCATCCCATCGTCGTTGATATTCTTTTTCTCTGCTACCTGGAGAACTGCGAATCCGTCGTGAAAACCTAGAACATGAGTGGAAAACGAGAAAAATTATTGAATTTCTGATGAATAAATTATTGCAACATTGACTTCATGTAAATGAATACAAAATAATAAAACATTGGTCGAGAATAGTCATTTGTCCATTCTAAACAATTACAAGTAATATTCCTAAATACGCATTCTTGAGAAAAGAGAGTAATTCACAAATTCAATAAGTACCGAAATTACTGGTGATTGAAGTAATTGACTGCGATCCGATGTCCCAATAGTGGATGTTCAATTCGACTCCTGCAATTGTTTTGTCCGACCCAACTCGACTTCTCGGAGGTTATGGGAAATCGATGCGTCTCGCCCAGTTATAAACGAATCTAGCCTTATTTCCGCGCTAGGACGCATAGGAAGCGAGATAATCGCGATTTTCTAAAAAAAAAAAAAATTCGCTCAAATCGACTTTTCAATACAAGAAATCGATGGGTCTCGCGGAGATATAAACGAAATTTTTTTCAAATTTTATAAATTTGAAAAAAAATTGCACCTATACCTTATAAATCTCCCATTCCACCTTAGTGGCATCTGGAATCTCTCCATGCACTTTTCGAATTAAAAAAAAAAAGAATGAAAACATTTTCCGGCGCCCTACAAAGCCTCACTATAAGATTATCGCATTGCGTGTGGCGCCCTCTCTCTCGTGCGGTGCAGTACTACGATGCCTTGGTGGTCACTCCAACCCCCAGAACTGAGCCTCTACTTCAGTCAATCCTCTTTGGGGATCACCGTTGGATTATCAGCGGATGGATTATTATTGTTTATTCGTTATCCATATTTTTAAAGAGTGGGTGTACGACAATAGTGAATAATTGAGGATTGAAACATGGATAATCATTGGAATTTCTTGAGCTCAAGCCGTTATGAATGGAACGGAAGAAACACGAAGGGTGAGACTAAAAGCTAAAATTTCTAAATCAATAAATAATTCAAATGTTGAATGCTATCCAATGAAAACTGATGTCACTTTCATTGTTCTTTTATTTACAGCATTTGAATAACGATGACAAGGCGCTAATTGTCATGACAGTAATGACAATCAATTGACGTGAGAGATCAAAGTCAAGGGTATGTACACAGAAAACGAGTGAAGTAATTGTTGGGAGTGTGAGAGAACATTAGATAATTCAATTCGAATCGTCATCAGTTTTTAATACGCTTTACTGAACATCAGGATGTGACAAAGTCTTTGTACACCACTTTTTGTAGTCCTCATTTCGCTTCCAGGAAACATTTGCATCAAAAGTCTTACTGTTTCCCAGCATTCTGAGATATTTATGTATAACTTTGTTCGCATTTCGAAGTTTGACATGAATAGAAATTATTTGAATTCATGTGTGGGAAGTGCTTCATTCACAATTGGATATTCTTGTTCATTATTAATTTGTCTAGTTTTTTATTTAGAAGAATAATTCTTTTCATGAATAATATTTGTCAAAATCAATAAAAAGGATTTCATGAATCAATTTCTTGCGATTACTTTCAGAGTTCAAATTGATTAAAAAATCAGAATCTTGAAGATTCTTTTGTGATGTACAACCTAATAAGAATGAAAAAATAAACATTGAAAAATAAAAATTTTCAAAAAATCAAAAAATTAAAAACATCACATAACCGATCCTAAAAAGAAATTTCCGAAATAAAATTATATTGAGAACCGAAAAAAGCAAAATTTCCATTATTTTCCAAACGTCCAATAATTTTCATTGCCAACTACCAACCGCGTTACAACATGACCACTAAACCAATTCCTGAACCCGACTAAGACCTGAAAAATGATCTCCAGGTCTCCCAGACTCGTGCATCCCGAAAAAATGGAAGACTACACCCCAGTGGAGGAAGATTTCCCAGGTCGTTTGTTGCATCAGGCAGCGCTCTGGGACAACGCGGAGCTCTTGGAGGATCTCCTTCGAGGGGATCACTCCCAATACATAAATAACCAAGACTCCTGGGGACGCACAGCGCTGCACGCAGCAGCAATAACCGAGAACTCCCGTTGTCTATTAGTTCTTCTATCAAGCGGGGCGAATCCAAACATCCCCTGCGGGCCTCGGGGTCATCACCGTACACCGTTGCACATCTGCGTGGAGCACGGCCACACGGAGAACATTACCAAACTTCTGGATTACACCGTGGACCTGAGCCTGTCAGACAGCAACGGACTGACCCCCCAAGACATCGCAGCAAAGAACAACGATAAGAGCACCATGGCACTGCTAACAAAAGCTGCAGAAAAACACCAACTCCTCCGCCTAGCAGTCCACGCATCCCTGAGAGCAGCCTGTCTCCAGGGGGACATAGTGGCTGTCAAGAATATAATCCAGAGCTCCACCGAGCCCCTAGAAGCAATCGTTAACTTGGCTCCAAATGGTGCAAACACTCTTCTCTTTATCGCCTGCGAGATGGGCCACAAGGAAATCGTGCGCCTTCTCCTGGAGCACGGAGCAGACTGTGAAAGCCATCCCGTGACCCAATATACTCCGCTGTATATCGCCTGCTATAACGGAAAGCTAGAGATCGTCGATATTCTCCTTCGCCACTTTCCCAAGCAAATCCAAACTCTCACCGTGGAACGTCGACTGCCAATTCACGCAGCTACCATTAATGGCCACTCCTCCATTGTGGAGCTTCTTCTCAAGTTCGAATATCCCCAGCACCTGTACCAGAGGTTCAAAGATCCCTCCGGGGAGTTCGAGTACGACATGCCTTTTGACGTTAACACACAGGATGTAACTGGTCAAAATCCCCTGTACATTGCCAGTATGTTGGGCAATATGAAAAGTGTGGAAATCCTCTTGGGGTATAAAGTCAAATCCGTGAAGATTAACGAAGAGGAGCCTCAACAGACCTCGGAGCAACTTCCCATTGCCAAACGACGGATATCAACTGGCATCCAGAGGCTCATGTCGTCATTGAATTTTAGGAGTAAGACTTCTGAGCAGAAGAAGGATGATAATTTGATTTGTCCTCTGCAGTTGGATATTTACTGTAATAATAGCACCGAGACTGCACTTCATGCTGCTGTCAAGGCAGGTCATACTGAAGTGGTGGCTATTTTACTGCTGTCTGGAAGTAATCCAAATCTACCCATCAAAACGTACAATCGGTCAATCAGCAAGGCGGAAGGGGAAACCGAAGCTGTGAACGATTTCACGGTTTTGACTCTAGCCTGTCACAATCGAGATGTCAAAATAGCTGATTTGTTGTTAAAGTATGGGGCAGTGGACAACGAGTGCAGAGCTTTGAAAATAGCAGCTCAGAATGGGGATGAAATACTCACAGCCAAATTGTTGTCGATAAAGGCACATCCAGACCCTGAGTATAAGATCAATAAGAAAGCAATGACGGAGGGTACACAGACCTCTCACTTCTCAGCTCTATCCAGCTTTGGAAATGTTACTTATCCCTCGTTATTCCCAAACACCCCTACGATGATAAACTGGCACGATCAGCAGTGCAGACTCTCCCAGATTCGCACTCAGTGGCTGATCGATGCTGTCCTCAATGTGAATAAAAAGCTGAATGGAAAGAATAATGATTTGTCGCTCTACGCAATCACGAGGATCGATATCTCCCACAACTCCATCACCACAATACCGTCCATGATATTTTACCTGCAGAGCCTGAAGTACCTGAATATGGCGCAAAATAAGATTGACAGTCTCTCAGAGAAATTAGAGACTGAAAGAAAATCGAGAGATACACGCGACAAGTTATCCCCCGTTCTGGAAGAGATGTATCTACAGGACAATCGTTTGGAGAAGCTCCCAGAGTTTCTCATGATGCTTCCATCACTGGAGATTTTGGACGTCTCTAACAACAAGCTTCAACGTCTCCCTGAGAATCTCTGGAGGGCCCCCAAGCTGAAGGAGCTCAATGCTTCCTTCAATCTTCTACGTGATCTCCCCAGCCAAGCCTCACAGAACATTTCAACTCGAAGAGACATGGGTCTCTCCAGTACCAACAACTTCGAGTTCTCCTCACGTCCCCCCACAAGCAACAGCTCCCACGAAGGCCTGGAGTTCACAGCAATGAGCAGAGACGATTCGGCGGAGTTCGACTCTTTTACGAAATTGACGAATGCTCAGATCATCGAGATGGAGAGACCCCACGTATGGACGAAGGCTGTTAGAGTTTCCGAGAAGATGAACGACGACTCAGAGCCAGGGGCACGATCAGTCCTCACGTCTCTGAATCTCGCTCACAATTTATTTAATAGTATTCCGGTTGCTCTACCATGTCTAGCTGTCAGTTTACTGAGATTGAACATGGCTTACAACTCATTACGATCGATGAGTCACATAACGTCGTACCCAGCCAGCCTCAAGCAGTTGGATTTATCGAACAATCAGATATCCTGCTGGCCGAGTTTACCACAGGTCGATCCAAGCTGCACTGACTCAATGGAGCAGGCCTCTACCGCGTGCTACTGCCCCTCCACAAATATTCAGTCTCCAATAATGAATTCTGTTGCTAATAATAGAAGTAGTTGTGGAGGTGCTTCACTCAGGGATATTGTCCTTATGTGTGTTTGTAACCACAGGAGACACCTGAGGCTGGAAAATTTGAGGACTCTGGTTCTCGCTAATAATCTTCTCACCAGGATTCAATTAACTTCTGTCGACGATGGGGAGAACTCCATTGGCTTCGATGAGAATGGGAAAGTTTATTATTACAGTGAGAACGATCGTCACAGCGAGTCGTCAGATCGAGAGAGCAAGTTGTCGAGGAACTCTGCTACCATGGCCACTCAAGCGCATCAGGGCCAGTACTCGAAACTTTATTTGTTGTTTCCAAATGTGAGTATGCTGGACGTCAGTAATAATAGTCTGAAGGACATACCCCAGAATATTTACGAACTGAGTAATCTCTCGGTTTTGAATATAAGTGGTAACGTTGAGATCAGTGAGCTGCCGCCTCAGATGGGACTGCTCTCTCGATTATGGAATTTAAATACTCAGGGATGTAAACTCCAGGAGCCCCTGAAAACGATGATTGAATCGAAGAAGTACAAGACGATGGACGTCGTGGGGTACCTCAAGTCGATCCTTGAGGATGCCAAACCGTATGCGAGGATGAAACTTATGATTGTGGGAATCCAAGGGATAGGGAAGACAAGTCTTCTGGAGCAACTCCGTCAGGAAGGAGAAGTGCCAAATAAAAAGCGATCTGGGGAGCACTGGGCGAAGCGTATGGGGAACAAGAATATCAATACAAAAACAGCTAGGGGGACAACTATATCGACAGTTGGGGTGGATATTGGGGATTGGATTTATGAGAAGAAGGTGCGAGGACAGTCGTCACACGGTGCTGTCTACTTCAGGACGTGGGATTTTGGGGGCCAAAAAGAGTACTACGCTACTCATCAGTATTTCTTATCCAAAAGGAGTCTGTACCTCGTGGTTTGGAAGATAACTGATGGTTTCAAGGGGGTCTACGAGATCTTCCAGTGGCTCGTCAATATCCAGAGCAGAGCCCCAAATTCTCCAGTGATCATCGTGGGAACTCATTACGATGTTTCCAATGAACAGAGTGAAGTCTTCCAGCAGTACATCAGGGACAAGTTCATAAATGTCGTTGATGCTGAAAAATGCGGCCTGCCGAAGGTCATGGAGACCATTGAGGTGAGCTGTAAGACTCGCCACAACATCAAAATGCTGTGCAATCTTGTGTACGACGTTGTCTTCAGTTTAAAGTCCCCTGGTAGCAAGGAGTTGCTGCTGGAGCAGAGGGTCCCTGCGAGTTATCTAGCTCTGGAGGATGTTGTAGTGCAATTGGCACATGACAGAAAGCTCTCCGGGGCTGATCCGGTACTCAGGGCTGACCAGTATTATGCAGCTGTCAATAACGAACTCCAAAAGCTCCACAAATCCTTCAGAGATCTCGCAGAGCTCCACCAGGCCACTCTATTTCTACATGAGAACGGGATAATCCTTCATTACGATGATGCAACCCTCAAGGATCTCTACTTCCTGGATCCCCAGTGGCTCTGCGACATGCTGGCACACGTCGTTACTATTAGGGAGATCAATCCTTTCGCCAGAGCTGGAATAATGAAGCTCGATGACATTCAGCACGTATTCAAATCCTCCACAATGTCCTCGGTGGATACTCAAGGGTATATCGTTAGTCTCCTCAATAAATTCGAGGTGGCTCTCACCTGGGATTATCGAACTCTTCTGATTCCTTCTCTGTTGCCCACTGAAGAAGACATTCAGAGGAACAATCAGATTATCAAAATTCCATTGAAATCCAGAGGCTGGCACGTTCGAACGAAGAAAATTGCTTCTCCAACAAACGTCCTTGACTCCATGATCGGCGACAGAAGGAACAGCAGACACCTGGGACTCACTCGTAACAATAAAACGTCGACTTTGACCTCCAGACCACAGCCCGATTGCTCAGTAACGAGACTTCTACTCATGTCGTATTTTCCCAGTGGATTCTGGTCTAGACTCATCACCAGAATCCTCGCTGATGACACCATTGTGGACATCGTCATGTCTTTCATTACTCCCTTTAAAGATTTCGTGGACGACAACGTGTTCTCGACTTTGTTGGACAATAATGCTGAGTGGATTGTCTGGCAGACAGGACTGGAGCTCCGATACGCAGGGATAACGCTATTGAGACTGAAGGAAGTCAACTGGAAGATGAAGAACGCGCCCTATGACTACAGACAATTAAAATTCAAATTGAAGCAAGACGGGATCTGGTGTAGCGTTGACTTGAAGAATTCAGCGATTTTGGAGATTTGGTTTCCAGTAGATACTCTAGTCATCAAACAGCCGATAATGTCCTCGTCCTTGGAGGGGAATGACGAGGACGAGCCCATGGGGTATCAGGCGATTGTCGTGGAGCCTCGACCTGAGAGTATGCCTCAGCTGTTGGCTCTCATTGTTGATCACATTGATATTCTCCTTGAGGACTGGTATCCCACTTTAGGCACTCGTTTTGTACACACGTCAGAGGGCAAACTCCTGGTGACGAGACTGATTCCCTGTCCAAGGTGCCTCCTGAACAGCACAAATGGTAATTCTGAGAGTGAACGAAGTGATCAGGAGGCCTCAGCATCTGGAGGATCGATGGAGGGGCTCGAGGGTGAAGACGAGACTTCCAAATCGCCTGACGAGTGCTGCACTTATCATCAGCATCACGAACGGCAGAGCCAGGACAGTTACAAGTCTGATGGAGACAGTGGCGTGGGATATGACAGCTCTGCATCCAGCAGGATGCCCTCTCTCGAAGGCCATCCAGATGTTGCTCGTCAATCCTCCAATAGGATTGTGAGTGCAGAAGGCATTACTGTGTACTCGTGGATGGTAGAGGAGTGCATTCTGTCTGCTTACAGTAACAAGACCATTGCCTGTCCCAAACATTTGGATATTCCACTGTCCCACGTCGCCCCGGACATTATCTTCATGGACCTTGGGGCCAAGCACTTGATCAAGTCTGATGATATCAAAAGGGGAAAAATGCTGGGGCGAGGGGCATTTGGCTTTGTCTTCAAGGGCTCGAGCAAAGTTCCCACTGGATGTAGGGGGGAGAGGATCGATGTGGCTATGAAGATGCTTCAGCCCGTCCCTCCAGGACCTAATTCCAAACCGTCGGCTGTACTTGCCTACAAGGCTGCACAGAGCAAGTGGGACAGGGATCCACTGCAGTACGCCTGCAAGGCTTACTGCACTGCTCGACAGGAGCTCAATATTTTGCTGACACTCAGGCACACGAATATCGTTCCTCTTATTGGAATTGTTATCAGTCCGTTAGCACTTGTTCTCGATTTAGCCCCGGAGGGAGCACTTGATAATGTCTTGAAGAATTATCGAAGGTCCGGGGCTAAGCTTGATCCTCACACTCTACAATCAATTATTTTACAAGTAGCGAAAGCAGTGGAGTACCTGCACCAGCAGCACGTCATCTATCGAGACTTGAAATCAGAGAACGTTTTAGTGTGGATGATTCCACAACCACACCAAAACCACACAGATCACGGGGTCCATGTAAAGGTGGCGGATTATGGTATCTCAAGACTAACGTTGCCCTCTGGAGCCAAAGGCTTCGGTGGTACTGAGGGTTTTATGGCGCCTGAGATCATAAAGTACAACGGTGAGGAGGAGTACACTGAGAAAGTCGACTCATTTTCATTCGGAATGTTTATCTACGAGCTTGTGACACTCCGTCAACCCTTCGAGGGTCACGAGGCTGTGAAGGAGTGCATCCTAGAGGGTGGTAGACCTCCTCTCTCCTACAGAGAGACTCTCTACCCATGTTATGTGCTCGACCTGATGGTTATCTGTTGGGCGCAAAATCCTAAGGATCGTCCAACCGCTAGTCAAATAGTTTCGATAGCTTCAGCTCCTGAATTTACGCACCTCATTGACGTCACCCTTTTGACAGAGCGGACTCACGTGACAGCCATCACCGCGACGTCAAGACCACCACTCGGATCGAACGAGAGTTATTTTGCTGATGAGATCTGGCTGGGGCACAACAACGGAGAAGTTGACATGCTCCTGGGAACTGAAAGGGGATGGCTGCAACATGTGAGGATCGAGACCCCAGTGATTCCTTATGCCATGTCCGGTGTCGATGGCTATATCTGGATTGGCGACAATGCTGGACAAATTCACGTGTACCTGGCAACAAATTTTGGATGTGTTGCCAGTTATTACTTGGAGTCTGATCAGAATCTCTACAGGGAATCCAAGATTGTTGGGTTGATTCATCTTGAGAGTATCAAGCAGTTTGTGGTTGCCCTGCACAGTGGCAAGATCTATCTATTAACGAATAACTTCACTCAGATGAAGAAGACCGAGATCGTGAGGAGTGTCAAGGAGAATGTGAAAACTTATTCACTGGCTGCTGTCTTCAGGAGGAGGAGAATTATCGAGCTCTGGGTGGGCCAGAGCTTCGGCAGGATCTCAATTTACGTTATCAAGGAAAATGGAAATCTTGTTGATACCTTTGAAGTTGTTCACGTGCAGAATGAAACATCCAGTAAAAATCTTTTTGCGACATATCTGTTGAGTGCTGAGACGTCTGTACTCTCATACACGTACCCTGGGTGCATTGTTTATCAGTGGGACGTTGAGACAAGGCAGATTATTAATAAATTGGATATGTCGAAGCTCGTTCCCTGCTCTGAGAGCTTGAAGTCAATATCTATTGAGGAGAACTTCACCACTGAGAGGTGCCAGGTGACTGCTTTGGAGGTTTGCATGAATCAGTTATATATTGGAACTACTTGGGGCTGTATTGCTGTCGCTGAGTGCAATTCTCTCAGACCCATCACTGTCTTCAGACCCTTCGAGGGAAAAGTCTCGCAAATCGTCGCTTTGAGGTCCACTGATAAGAAGAGGATGACCATGGCTACAGTTGGCCAGGGGTACAGGAGTCTTATATCTAGGTACACGGATTATCCTAGTGATTCTCTCATTGCTGAGGACCTCAGGCATAATATGTATACGTTATTGTGGCGTGCTGAGCACTGGTCTGCTGCGTAATTATCATGTTTTTTTTAAAAAAAAAAAAAGACATAAACTATTCTGGGGCAGAATCATTCTTGTGAGAATCTTCCGATTATTGCAGCAAATTGAAGGATTATTCGGAATAAATCCTTTTTAAGAAATTGGATTCACTAGTGGAAACTTGAATGTCTTGTTTTGAAATGTGAATGAGAAGATGTCGGCAATAACTTGTTAAATTAATTTCGGGATCTTTCATCACTTCCAGTAGAGAGGGTTTGAGGTAAAATGGGCCACCGCGATTTTTGACAAATTAATGTTAGAGTCTCATTCAATCGTTATTACAATGGAATGATTTTTTTTTTTCGTTATTGATAATCAACTGAAAAGTTGACAAATTTTCGAAACTTTTTTGATAATTAAGTAAAAAAGATTGTCTCAAGAATAATTCTGATCTACGAAATTCGTTTCATTCGGTCCTGAGGATTGGAGTTCATTTTTTGATGAATATCTCGGATTCCGGGGAAAATGACATTTTTTTATGACTTTTTTTGTAAAAACCAAAACAACTGTGGTTATTTTGCAGTGAAATTTAGTTTATACAGATTTTCCATGGAGAATCAATTCTGGATTAACAGGTGGTTATAGAAATTCACACTTTGGATTTGAAGGCATCTATCTAAAATTGGAGTCACAATGAATTAATTGTAATGGTTCTATTCACGACTATATCCATTGCTATACGGAAAAATATTTCTACTGAAAGTTACTTCTAAGCTGTTCTAATCTATCTATCGCTCCTGAAATACTCGATAGGGTTCTAGTGGAAAATGTCACAGCTGTCATGGAAATTGCAATATTTTGGCAAAATTTTTATTCGAAATATTGCAATTTTAAACGGCGAATCTTTTTACTCTCCCTTTTTATTTCACCCTCCCAAATTTTGATAGAAATTCCCCTCGTTTTCAAAAATAATGCAAGATAATAATAAATGATTTCTCGAAAATGAGAGAATTTTTCCAAAACCGCGTTTTTAATAACAATACGTCCACAGATATTTAAATATAAATGTTATGAAAAGAACATTCTCTTATTGAATTTTTTTAGTCACAAGTCCAATCATGTGATTGTATAAATACTTCTAAGGTAAATTAGTGGATTATTATCATTCACATCTAAGGCAGTTATTCATAGTGAGATATTGAGTAATTATTGAAAGTCGTTGAATCATGTACTCATTTTCCGGTTTACTGATGGAAAAATGTTCCTTTGACAAAGAATATTTAATTGATACAAAACCATTATCCCGTCAATTTTACAAATCGTGAAATTTTATGACAAATTATTTTGCTTTCACACTGAGAGGAAAAGGTCTTTGAAAGTGTCTGAACCATTTTTTTGGGACAAAAATTTTTTCATGTCGAAGGACTCGTTTCTCCCAGTGTGCACAGGGTACGTTCATTTTGCAATTGATTAATTTAATGAAAAAACACGCTGTGACTCACGTCCCATTACTGGTCATATTCGGCAGGAGTTTTTACGACGTAATGTCGAATGGTTGTCATTGATATTCGATCGTGATAGTTATTGATAATTTATTTACACAGCATAAGTTTAACAAAGTGATTAGTGATAGCAATCTTTTTTTAGTATTTTCCAAAGAGACGGCTTGCAACACTTCAGAAATTATTTTATTGTAATTAATGAGTGAGAACAAATTTCTTATTTTCTATATTGTAGCAATTGTGTACCTCATTTTTTTCTATTTATTCACAGTATTTATTGGATTATCTGTAGATACATTGACTATCTAATTTGTTGTTAAAGATATTAACAATATAATAAAAATGAAAAATGAATATTATAACTTGAATGTTATTTAATTTTTAATTACCCAATTGACGAAGGATTTTGCTGAACGCAAAAATTAATGAAGTGAAATTTTATTTTTATTTCAACAACAAAGAAATAAAACGGTTTAAGCAACTCTCTGTCGAGTTTTTAAAATATAATGCATGCAATTTTAGATGGATAATAATAAAATTAAAGAAATTGGAGGAAATGGAGAAAATATTTTTGGCAAAATCAGGGAGTTCGATTTTTGATTACACGTCAGATCAACATGAACTTGGCAAGTCTTGTTGATAAAAATAATAACAGCTTCATGAGGATGGCATCTAATCAATCGAGTGATAATTATAACGGTGCAGAGCACGAAAATTTCTCGTGGTCTCAGAGTATAAATGATCTTGACGTGATTGTGAAGATTCCTGATGGTTTGAAGTGCCTCGATGACCTCAAAATTCATGTCTCGACGAGGGGAATCAAGGTCGAGGCACGTACGAGGAATTTCAGGGCAGGTGATCAGGACTCAGACTGGTGCGTTATTTTCCAGGGAGAGCTCAGCTACGAAATTAAGAGTTCCGAGAGTATTTGGACGGCGATACCAGGGAAATATGTACACGTGAGGAATCCTCTGAGTTACTTCCCTGATAATAATTCCTAGAAAAAATTTGGGAACCTCCAAGTAATTTTTTGCTCTAGAAAAATTACTTTCGGAAAAATGCTCCTGGTTTTCAGTTCGATGACCTAATCCTAGGATTTTCCATTCTTTGCCGTGATGATGGCCTCAAGTCGTTGAGAAATATTTTTAAAACCGGGAAAATTAATGAGATGTTCCCCTCATTGGTCGTCTTTACGAATTTTCCTCAAGCAATTTGTTGATTTAAAATATTTAATATTTTGTTTCATATAAGATGCATAAATTAAAAAAAAAGTGAAAAGTTCTCGGAGATTCTTAAATTAATTTTCTCATCAAAACCATTGGGAAGATTGGAAAGATTAGAAAGACATGAATATAAAAAATAGATTATACAGCATATTTTAATGGGGAAAATAATCAAAGGATTTTTCTCTACACCGAGAGATATTAAGTTTCCAGTTGAAAATAGAATGAAAAATTGCAGATCCACCTGGAGAAATCATCAGAGAGATGGTGGGAGTCTTTGATCAACGACGAAGCCAAGATCTCATTAGACAAAATTGATTGTTCCCGCGACATTGAGGAGCTGAACCCCCAGGAGCAGATGACACTGCAGGAATTGATGTGGTGTGAGCACGAAAAAAATTTAAAGAGACTTGAGAAAGTGAAGGAACAATGAAGCGCATTGTCGGATGCTTGTTCTCATTTCAATTCACCGAGATTAAATGCTCAACTGAGAAAATGTTAATTCAACAGGTGTTTTAATTTTATACTTGTTAAAAAATCAAAGTGAATGGATACTTCTGCACCAAGCCTTTCCTAGTGAAATTCAATTTTCAATTTCGGAGATTGTCGTGTCCAGGTGATTATTACTGACTGACATAAATAATATACCTGTTCACATTACGGTATATCGTGGGTTCCCAATGCCCTCGTGCTCTACCGGACCCTCAGGTTTGCTGAGTTCATTCCGGTTCCTCTACCCATATTCACTTCAATACTTATTACATTTAAATGTGGGCTAATAACGTTGACCGACAAATATTGCCTTAAAAATAAAAATATGACCATTTTTTTTTGCAGCGCGCATTCCTCTATTTACCAGATCAAACAAATAATTTTTGGTTTTGTCCTTGTGGAAACTGGAAAAAATCCCTTTGACAGAAAATTGGGGTAATTATTAAGTGCGAGGAGTTATTGCGATACCTTTCCATTTTTCAAGTTTTTTAAACAAATTTCTGAGGAGCGCTTTATAAAATCGACGTGAGAAATATACCGTTTGAAGTTTTATTATTATTCAAGTGTCCCTCGAAGTTTCGTCACTATACAAGAATTTTCTGACGTCCTCAATAAACTTTTCAAAAAATTTATAAAAAATAGACACATGACTCCGGAGATTTGTGAGTTATTGAATAATAATAAAACTTCAAAACGGTTGATTGTTTGACGTCAATCTGATCTAATACACTTGCCTGAGGGGTCACGAAAAAAAATAGTCGACGCCCCACAATTTTGACAGAGAAGAATTACCGATTTCTCATTCCTTCGGAGATTCATAGATACAGAGATCGTCTTCATCGCCCGTACTCATGCTTTTTTTTGCCATCAAAAAATGATCAACCGATCAATCGATCCTTCCCCCGCAACCGCGAATATTCCCCCCGATTTCAATCCCCGTAATCAAACTGGGCTAATCACCTCAGCCCACATCCGCCCAATTCTTAAAAAAAAAAGATCCATCAAACCACTCCCGGCCACCCTAAAAACACATATAAAACGTGTTCAGCATCCTCGATAGTCGTATAATCCCCGTGCTACTTAATCCCACGAAAACCAAAAAAATCAAGCTAATCACCTCGATTAATATCGAGTAGTCAAATGCATAGGCAATCGCGGTGCGTGGCCTTTATTAAAACCCCTCGGAATTTCTCAGCTTCGGTTAGATTTTCTCCAACATTGACCTGCTGTGTATGAGTGGCTGAAAGAAGAGGGACAGGTAGCTCTGCCGAGCCGAGATCTCGTCTTTTCGATATTCTCAAACGGAGGCTCTCGCACCTGTTGCCCCAGGGCTCCACGCAGGTAGAAATTCAGAGTTAAGTCCAATCTAATGGAGGAAGCGAAGAGCCTGCATTAAAAAAAAGAGATGAAAGTACATAAAATGAGAGGACAACCCGAGAGAGCAGGACATCCAGAAATATTCCGAGAGGATTGAGACAGATTCTGATAGATTCTGATAGATCTACATGAATTTTTATGGAAATTAAGACGTTTCAAGTGGAAATACTGGAGTCATTGGTGCATTGGTCTCGTGAAAATGGGAATGGTTGAGAACCCGAGACAGGTAAACTGGTAAAACACACCTACCTGCTTTAGTAGTGTACAACGAAGGTGGTCGGAGGACTATCCATTGGATATATCCCCACTACACCTGAAAAATCCGAGGTGTTCCCTTGCCTTTCTTCCAGTACCTCTCCAGTTCTTCCTGCGTTACATCAAGACCCTCATCCAGCTGCTGACTCAATTGATCATTTATAATCAGAGTAACGATGCAATAATGTGCGTGAATAGTTCAGTGGATTGGGTGTTGAATAAATCGAAATCGATATTGCGGCATTGATTCCAGGCATTATCATTTGGATTTGCCTTTGGGTATCTCACCAGGTGGGAGAAGGAATTTTGTGGCGAAATCGTGTCGGTGGTGCAACAGCGCTGGAGTGATAGTCTTGTGATTTTATTATTTGTAGTTTTTTTTTAAAATAATTGAGCAAGAAGATGCCGTGTTCAGCAGTGACGCTGTCTTTGGCAACCATAACCGGCATTATTGCCACTGCACTTCTGTCTATTGCCTTTGGCACGGATAACTGGCTCTATACCGAGGTCAAGCGTGCCCAAATACAGGTATGTCTACTATAATACTGTTATTTTTTTATATTAAGCATGGCTGGGTCAAGGGACGTGGGAACTGCCTGTGAAAACTATGGATTCATCTGGGAAATTCAAAAAGGAGAGAGGCTGTGCTCTTCTCTCGCTCTTTTGGAAATATCTCACGAACTAATGGAGATCGTCAAAGTTTTGTTATATAATTTTTTGTAGAGCTCGTTAAGAGGTACAAAAAAGGTTTTCACTTTAATTTCGCTATCTCTTTTAGCTTCGGAGATATTCCCGAAGAACTCACTGGAGAGGTAAGTGGACTTGTCTCCTCCTTTTACCACTTTGCTACTGAAATTTCCGTCCATTTTCTTGTAGAGAAAAATGGACGGAGAAACTTCTTCAGGGTTTTGGCGATCGCCATGGGATAAGAGGTGATGTTTTGATGGGCAAGCGCAGGGCATGGAATTCTTTTTTTACTTCTGGAGTGAATACAAAGTGCACGGCTGAAAAAATAATGAAGTTTCGAGTTTCATTGAAAATTTTTTATTTACTTTTAATTTTTCATTTTCAGTGCTAGTTACCATGAATTTTCTTAGATTCTATCCATTCCCATAGGATAATTACCCCGAAATTTACGGTTTACAGTCATTTCTCATGAAACTATGAATTCTCTTGAAATTTCACTGGAACTACAATCTGATGAAAACTTCCTAGTGTACCGGAAATTCCATCTATAAATTTTTTAACACAAGTATTCCTTCCCTCGACAAAAAACTCTTCGTCTTTTACCTATTCCTTCGGCGTTGCTTTTATATATGAACGAATGACGAATATAAAAAATTCTGGATGTCCGCAAAAACGGGAGAAAAGTCGACTGGTCAAGAAATTCCATATATACTCATTCTTTATTCAATACGCAAGTTATGGGAGTTATGCAATATTATTTATTGAAATATAAACTTCTCTGAAAAACCAAAAAGTAAAACTATTCTTCATGAAATATTCACACTGATCATTACAATTCTGCACAAAATCTCGTAAACTTTTTCCGAGCTATAAACGCTGCTAATAAAAAAGTAAATAAAATGAAAAAAAATAAAATCAGCAATGAATAAATAATGATAATAATATAAAAATCAATACTAAAAATTTAATTAATTTAATTATTTCGAGAATAAAAATGATGCAAATGATAATAAATGACAGAAATGTAATTCTGTGACCGATGGAGTAAAATTGCAGTGAAAATGTTTTCAAGGGAAATGAGCAATTGATAATGCATCAGTAGGAAAAAAAAAATAGCAGTGAATCTGAGAAAATTGTTGGTTTCCTGGATTAATGTGCTCGGTATATCGAGTTGAGGTATTATATCGTGGAAAATATACGGTTTTATTATTCGCTCGTCCTTGTGTCGGGTTAATGTCCTGTGTTGGGGGCTGGCAAACACCAACACTCGTATTATCTCTTTCGCATACCGGTGTACAACTGGAGATTCTATTTTTCTTTCATTTTTTACTACAATACACCTTTTGCAGACAATAACACCCCTTGTAATTGGTCTGTCTCGCTCCATAAATTTTCACATGTCTTTTCTCTCGTTTTTTGAATAACAGTCTTTATCCTCATTCAATATGTAATAAACTATTTCTGGATTACAAAAATAATCTGTTAATATTGTTGAAACAAATTTTTACTGGTGTTATAATATTATGTCATTTGAATTCCATAAAAAATTGAGCGTTCAAGCAAATTATTATATAAATAATAAATAATAAAATAAATAATAATTGTTATATCAATCATAGAAGTTGCGTGTCGGAATTTTTTTACGTCCACTGATAATAAAATCATGATTTCTCGATATTTTGTTATTAAAAAATTAAAAAGTCGTTATATATTGAAAAAAACATTTATGATTTCGAATGTAATCGAATTTTTAGAATTCCTTTTTTGCCATTTTCAATCATCTTTGACTTTACCGTAAAGATAGAGGTATTTTGAATATGTTTATTTATTTATACATTTTTATGGTTTGTAATGATAAATTCTTCCGTGTGAGTGCTCACCTAGAAAGAGGAATTTTATTTTAAACAATTTTCATTCTCTATGGAGAGAAAATTGTTTATTTTTCCATACAAGAATTAATAACGAGAAAATGCCTCCCATTAAATTTTCAATCAATAATAAAATATGTATTATCAGAATATTTTTCACTCTCAAATAATTTTGTTACCGCATCAAGACAAGATGGAATTCCATATTAATTTTTTTTTCAGAAAAAAGTAGTTTAGAGTAAAAAAAAAGGGGCATGTGGATTGTCTCGCGGGTTTTTAAAGCGCTCGGGTCAAAACAGAAAGCAGAAATGTCATTGGCTCGTTTTTCTCTGCCTTATGTACTTTAAGTAAATAAGTTAAGCTATCACAACAGGAAATTCAAATGTACCTGGAGGAACGTCGACGCATGTTGGACGATCAACATTCCTCGGCGCGCCCATTTTACCACGAGTTGCCACAACCACAAGTACACGATTTTAAAATTCAAAAACCACCACTGATTTACCCATACAATCGCCATGCAATTCACATTGACACCATAAAACCCGATGAAAGTCCAGTTTTATCGAAAACCCACTCGTGCTGTTTTAATTTTCACTGGAAAAATCTGGAAAAATATAAAATTATCCTGTTTAAAAAGTTGATAAACTAGACGAGCGAAACTCGCCCTGACAGTCATAAATAAATGAAACTAAGTTGTTTATAAAATAGCTGATGATTTTCTACCACTGGACGGTGACATAATTTACAGCCATTTTAATTCGCGAAATGTGGCGTGATAAAAATAACACTGAGTAGAATGCTTGATTGTTGGGGACGTAATTGTGGAATTTTAGTTGAAGAATATTTTTCTCGGTTATTCTAGAAGGATGTGCACTCGTTCGAAAGGGTTTTCCTTTCTATGTCAAAGAAATCTTATAGTTGTATTGTGAGGCGAAACGCCGATGTGAAAGCAGTTTAAATCCACTGGATTAACTCTATGGAACTCTCTTTTTTATTTCTCTTTCTGGGCCCATTCGTTTTTATTTCCCTGTCATTTTTCCTCATCTCCGAATGCCAGCGGGTGATTATTGAAATTATTGCCGATAGCTTCTCATTTTTCAAGTTTTTTTTACAAATTAACGCGAAAAAAAATTTTTTAAGTTTTATTATTATTCGATATTTTACCAAGTCTCATCACCATGCAAGAATTTCCCCACGCTCTCATATCTTTTTCGAAAATTCACCATTTTTTTTCGAGAATTTAGAGCAATTGACGGATGATTATGGGAATTTAAAAGTCATTGAATCATGACTAAGCGAAAAAGTGTTCTGGATTTGTTATTTAATCATATCGTAGGTTTGTCAGATAAATTGAAGAAACAATTAATTTTAAAGGAGAGGGTGTAGAATATCCTTAATTTTGGATCATGTACATGATGGAGAATACCTTCAAGCTGAGGGTGACGACAGGGTCTAGGCATGACGGTATGATGCAAGAATTTGCGTCAAGGACTTTTGTCAATCTGCTATTTCTACATTCTTATATTGTTTCCATCTGGTGACAGGCAAACACCTACACAGAGATTTCTCTCGAAAATTTATTTATCTCATTTTTGAAAATATCTGGGACAATCTCGAACCCAAAATTGTTTTCATTATTGCGAAAAAGCTGATGCTTCACCTCGAGACCCTCCAATGGAATTGATCTTTTCCGGAGTTCAATGATTTTCATTATTTTATAAAAACGGTCGAGTCGATTAAAACGAGATAAATCCTCCATTTATTTAGATACTCTTGATTAGGAGTATTTCCAGTTAATGAGAGGATAAGCGAAACTCGGGATTAAGACTTGCGAGATGACAATTTCCGGAATAATAATGAGACGTCTTGCGCAGGGTGTGTCGGTCATTAACGAGTACAGATTTGTAGTACCTCTGGTTGCATTAGACTGGGATTGCGAGTGCAAATGGCCGATTCTTTTGCTAATTAACAAAGGAGTGATGAATTTGTGTTTAAAAAACACAAGTGAAAACCTGACGGTCACATTAAATTATTTCAACAATGAATTTCATTTGCGCTTCGAAAAAAGCCAAACAGTTGATATTATGATTCAATTTTTCAGTACAGCATGATAAATAAATTACTTATGTAATTGATATCGTTATAAAAATG